ATCCTAGAGGAAAACCTGGTTCAGTCTGCTTTCCACCAGACACTGGGAGATGAATTCACCTTTCAGCAGGCCAATAACCTAAAACACAAGGCCAAATCTACACTGGAGTTGCTTACCAAGAAGACCGTGAATGTTCCTGAGTGGGGAAATTACAGTTTTGACTTAAATCTGCTTGAAAATCTATGGCAAGACTTAAAAATGGTTTTGTAGCAATGATCAACAGCTCATTTGACAGAGCTTGAAGAACTTTGAAAATAATGGGCAAATATTGTACAATCCTGGTGTGCAAAACTCTTATAGACTTACCCAGAAAGACTCAAAACTGTAATCGCTGCCAAAGGTGATTCCTATGTAAATGAGATATTTCTGTATTTCATTTTCAATAAATGATCCAACATTTCTAAACATGTTTTCACTTAGTCATTGTGTGTAGATGGGTGAGAAACATATATTTAATCCATTTTCGAATTCAGGCTGTAACACAACAAAATGTGGAGTAGGTCTAGGGGTATGAATACTTTCTGAAGGCATTGTACAAGATATTTGAAATGGGTTTAGGTTGGTCATAACAAAAAGTTAGGGAATCAAAACCATTGATGTAGGGCACTACTACTGCAGTGTTGCAATGGAGTGAGTGTGTGTTAGCACTCGCTGCTCCCACCCTGCTGAACTAGATAAGGATGACAAGACCAGGCCTTAGTGTAGTGGGCCAACATAAACACTGTAACATCATCCAGGTGGCAACGGCACTGTACCAACCAATGATTTCACCAAACATACCAACAGGGTAGCAGAATCAGGCAAGAGCAAGTGTGTGTGTGTGTGTGTGAGGTTGAGAGGTGGGGTCTTCACTGGGAGAACATTTACTGAAGCGTTGCACTTGCACAAACAGGAGAGAGACAGTTTTATCTCACATACAGGAGAACTCCCATCTGTCAAGTGTTATTTCATTCGGGTCTTGACTTGATGCAACATGCTGTGTTTGCTTACTTAGAAAATACACTTATCTAGAGTGGTTTATGCAATTCAAATAAGTCAGGAAGGCATTTGTTCAGCAAGGCATTTAGTTTGTGAACTTTGGGATTGTGGGCTGGGGCCCTGTGGTTGTTGGACAGATACTCAGAATTCTGAACTTGAGGCATTTGTGTGTGTGCTGCCTATTAATAGGGAGCAGGCTGATGTCATTGTTTCCTTTCCTTACAATCCATCTCCTCCAACTGACACCTGAGTAGTTGAGGTTGTCCCCCTCCATACCCCCCTACCCTCCTACCCCTTCAGTTGTGTCAGCGGTAAAACGCCAACATCGGCTAGCCAGCCCTGAGAAGAGGCTTTTCTTCCATTGTGCTGGTGTGTGCAGCAAGCCCTGGACCCATGAATAACCAACCTGGCACGTAGCGACTCCCCTTCTGCAACCTCTCTGTGTGGAGAGTCCTCTTCAGAGTGTAAACACCTTGCAAACACCTGGTGATTCAGAGGAGAAGATTACTGGCAGTTCAGACCGGTCCAAGGTATCGTAGGCCCATCTGGCTGCAGTAGTAATTCTATTAATGCCCAGCTAACAACAAATGTTCCCACAACATTAGAGAACGTTCCCTTAAGAGCGTCATTAGGTCATTAACTAACGTTTTCATAGGAATGTTCCCATGATGTGCAAGGAATGTTTCCAAGAGACCATTCTCTTAATGTCAAATGGAACTTACCCAGAATGGGGTTACCATGTTCTCAGAACACAAGATATTAATGTTCTAGACACGTTAAATGAGAACGTTGCAAGAACATTCATGTGTCCAGTTTTTTGTTTGTGGGTTAGGAGAATATTCCATCAACATCCAACCAAACATACACAGAACATGGTTGCCATGTTCTCAGAACATAAGATATTAATGTTCTAGACACGTTTTATGGGAAAGTTGCAAGAACATTTGTGGCCAAAGAAAAACTCATTACACATCACGTCTTCTTGCCGAGCCACTGATTGGTGAACCACTGATCCAGTCATAGCTCTTTGTCTGTTGGCAAAGGATACTTACACACAGTGCTTTTAACATAGTGTTTTCAACTTACATATTTTACATACATGATTACGTTGTGCATGTTCATTTATACAGTAATTATTATTCAACATGTCCTCACCTGGGATTTGAACTCACTACCTCTTAGTTCACGGTACTCTGATCTTCCTACTACGCCACCATGTCCGTGTCAGGTATCAGTTAATCTGACTATTCTCATCATTGATATTATTTATTTATTTCAGCAATTGAAGGGCTTTCTGTATAGTTGTCTAATGTTGGTGGGGCATATTAACCTGTTTTAATGATACTCCTGAATCATTATGATCAATAAAACAATTTATTGAGTGTACTTTTAACAGAGCAGATATTTACTTCAAAGTGCATTCACCATATTGCTTACATCTATCAAGTTGTTTCAGATCTGCAAAAGTATCTACAGAGGAGGGTTTATGGTTTATTCTGTACAGGGCCTAACTATATGGCTCAATAAGCACATGCTGTAAAGATATCCCTTATTGGGACAGTGGTTAGGGCATTTGTCATTGGTGCTGGTGGCCTGGGTTCGAGATCCGCTAGGGGAGTCGCCCTACTCTCACTTCCTTAGCAATATACACTGAGTGTACACATCATTAGGAACACCTTCCTAATATTGAGTTGCACCCCCTTTTGCCCTCAGAACAGCCTCAATTTGTCGGGGCATGGACTCTACAAGGTGTCAAGCGTTCAACAGGGATGCTGGCCCATGTTGACTACAATGCTTCCCACACTTGTGTCAAGTTGGCTGGATGTCCTTTGGGTGGTGGACCATTCCTGACACACAACGGGAAACAGTTGAGCGTGAAAAACCCAGCAATGTTGCAGTTCTTGACACACTCAAACCGGTGGACCTGGCACCTACTACCATACCATGTTCAAAGGCACTTAAATATTTTGTCTTGCCCATTCACCCGCTGAATACCACATATACACAATCCATGTCTTAATTGTCTTGAGGCTTAAAAATCCTTCTTTAACCTGTTTACTCCCCTTCATCTACACTTATTTAAAGTGGATTTAACAGTTGACCTCAAAAAGGAAAAAATAAAAGACATGGACACAGGAATGTTTTAGCAACGTTCTCATGAAGCGTGTCTAGAACGTCAATATCTTATATTCTGAGAACATGGCAACCATGTTCTGTGTATGTTTGATGTGACGTTGATGGAATATTCTCCTAACTCTCAGAAAACTGGACACATTAATGTTCTTTAAGCGTCCCATAAAACACATCTAGAACATTAATGTTGTATATTCTGAGAACATTGTAACCACTTTCTGTTTGACATTAAGGGAATGTTCTCCTAAGTAACACCAAAACATGCAAAAAAAAGTTCTCAGAAGGTTTTTACTAACATAGGTAGAATGTTCCCCTTACTAATGGATAACTGGACACTCAAACATTAGGAGAACATTATGGGTAATGTTACAAAAACGTTCTCTCTCCTTAGAATTGTTAGCTGGGTGCCCAGTCACATGGTTTAGGCCTGGGTTCTCCCTCTACCAAAGCTGTCCTCAGCACCACCTTCGGCTAATCGTTTCACTATTCCTGACTAAATCGATCACATTAGTTTTCCAGGAGTTTTGAAGGAGTTTTCCGGCTAGAGGTCAGTTTACTAGCTAGTAGCCTGTTGGCTAGGTATCACAGAGCTCTTCCTGTTGACGAGGAGATGGTGTTTTTAGCTGTGTCCTAGAGCTCCTGCCTTTGTCTATGCCAGCAAATCCTCTCAGATGAGTTTAATGACTTGAGTGCGTGTGTGTTTGAGAAAAGAGGAGTCTACCTCACCATAACATAGGCCTAATACATACTCCTCAACTCTTTCTAAAGTTCTCCCTTCCTAACCCCCATATCCACCCCGCTTCATATATGACACAAGTGTGGAGTGACTAACAATAACAATGTGTGGGACAGATGGGAATGGGAGTGAGTGAGAGGCGGCAGTGGCCAGTCTTAAAGGAGGGAGATGGGCAGGTCCCACCCCTGAGGTTAATGGGATTTAGGCAGAGCTGTGTGTGTCAGCCTCCCCATCCATGCTTGGTCCACGTGAGGAGCTCCCTGGCAGCGCTGCCTTGGAGTCAGTTGACTTGTTGGGTGGCATGCAGCCTACTAGCTAAGCAGATCAAGACATCCATTCTGAATTTTTGGCAAAGAATCCAATTTCTTTAAATCTTTTTTTGGTGTGCAATTGAACAAGTAGCTTTGCTGGTCCCAGAGAAGGGAAGAAAGAAAGCCATTCTCTGAGGTCTTGGAGAGCAGGTTTCTGTTGGACAGCGGTATAAGATCCTGGATGAGGACCTTATTTTCCCCCACTGAAGTGGAAACCTGTTGCTCTGCAGCTGCTGAGAACTAGGACAGACACATTGTTTGGTTGCCTTCTTAGAATTGAATTGATTAAATAAGGATGGATTTCATGCCCGGGGAAGAATTGATGCTGAGAAAAGAGGTAGTCCAACATCTGAAATCCTCTGGATTCGTAACACTTCTGGCTAAACAGTGTCCCGTTTATTTGTGCGTACGTTTGAGTCTGTGAGTTTGAATATGTGTGAGAAATGAGGAGGTTTGATTGTGTGAGGGAGAGAGAGAGGGGAGTTTGATTTTGTGAGCGTGTGAGAGAGAATGAGGGAGGCAGAAGAACACAAGCCTCTGCCTCAGGCTGCGGGTGGAGACAGTGCGCAGCAGCAAGTCTTCTTAGGCAGGAGCACTCTGACTTGGCTTTTCTTCACTGCTCTACTCAGTGCCACTACAGAGCAGCAGGCAGCCGCCTACCTACATCTCACAGATGAGACCGGACTAAGTAACTGTCAGTCTGTAACCCAGGGGTTGGGTCAGGCCCTGAAGCTATCTCTCTCTTTACATTACTTTACTCCAACTCTGTTTCTTGGATCTAAAGACGAGGGCTGCAGAGCAGACAGGGGAGAGGCTAGAATTCTCTCTGGCCGGTCAACAGAATGCATCTGGTGGTGGAGTCCCCTCAGGAGGCTGTACTGAAGATGCTGCCCTATTTTGTTGAGAACGCCGTGCTGACCCAGAGTGAGATATGCTGCATGTGAGTTTAGCAGAGTGCTTCTGTGTAGAGTGGGTGGGGATTTCTGAACCGGTCCCTCATAGATGTAGTGTGTGATCTACAAGAATAGAAATGCTATAAGATTATTTAAGTGTGTGCCTGTGTGGTTCTAAGACAGGAGTGCACCCAGTGCTTCTTAGTTGTGTAGAATGTATGGATGTGTACGACAGATAACTCAGTGGTGTACAAATGCATTAGGAAGGCTACTGGGATGTTATTGTGTACTTACACAATCTGTCCTGCTAACTTGTCCGTCCATCTTAAATGTTACACTTCCCTCTATATATTTGGACACAATGACTGCTACATCAAGCTTGTGAAATGTGGATATTTTTGCAGCTTGTTTTGGTTGTGTTTCGGATTATGTTTTGCCCAATAGGAAGTGAATGGTGAATAATGTGTTGTGTAATTTGAGTCACGTTTATTCTAAGTAAGAATAGAAGATCTTTCTGAACACTTCTACAGTAATTATGGATAATCATGAATGAATTGTGAATGATGATGAGTGTGAAGGTTGAAGAGGGACAAAGATCATACCCCCCCAAAACATGCTAACCTCCTCTTTGTAATGGTGAGAGGTTAGCATGTTTTTTTGTAGCCTCTGTAACTTTCTCAATCATCATTATTCAAGATGTGTTCATGATTTTTCTTTAATCATGCCATTACATTATCAGGATTAATGTAGAAAATTACTCCAGTCATTATTCACCATCCAGTTCCTATTGGGCAAAACATAACCCAAAACAAACTGCAAATGGATCCAACGAGTTTGTAGAGTCAGAAGCTTGATGTAGTCATTGCGTGCAAGGAATATGGGACTAAATACTACACTTTTTACTACTTGAATACCCTTAAAGTGAATACATTTGTCCAAATACTTATGACTTCAAATGGGGGGACTAGATATATAAAGTGTTTTAATTTCTAAATGGTAAAACATATGTATGAAAATACCATCAAATAAAAGGTGACATTCTGTACTGTCGCCTCATATGAAACATTTAATCTCAAATCCAAAATGCTGGAGTATAGAGACAAATGTAAAACATTTGCTTCACTGTCCAAATACACACAGAGGCGTGTCTATATAGCCTAGCTACTGGCTTGAAACTTCCATAGATCAACTGTAGAGCAATCATGGGATCAAGTTAATGCGCATAACAAGCCTGATACTAAAAGTAGTCATACACTTGGCGATTGTATGAATTCTGCTCATTCAGAGTGAAGAGCCTGTCTTCTTTTCTCTCCCTGAAGAATAGGTAGGCCTACTCTATAATCATAAGGGATCATTGAGGCTATTTGGCATGCCTCTCTGTTGTTGTCTTTGTGTGCCGTGATAGCAGATATATTTTTAGCCCTGGTGTTAGTGGAGAGGCTGATAGCAGGGTGGGTGCCGGAGGACTGGAGACACCAGAGTAGAGCAGAACAGAAGCTAGTTAATTAGACTGTCTTAGTATGGATCATGGTGGAGGGCTGGTGATTTACATGGCAGGAAAGGAGAGGACGGTTCACGTTCAACACATCCTCCGGTTGGTTTCTCACTGTGGTTTACGCATGCAGCATATTTCAATGGATCATACAGCATTGCGTGTACTATGTGTAGATTCCAACAAAATAGAATGAAACTTTCATTTTTTTCTAGTAAGAGAGAAATACTGTATGTTTACAATTCTATAATAGATTGATATCCTGCCGAGATATCACAGGGAATGCTGAAAGTGGTAAGCTAGATGAAGGAGGTAGAATTTGAAAAGGTGTTTGATGAGGATTATCTCTAGTGGCTTTCCCACACTGTAACTGCACACACAGTGACATGATGTTTGAAGGAGGTGCTCCATTTCCTCCTATAGACTTAGCAAGCTGCAGTTCTACCTCATATTCATCATTCCCTGACAGGAGTCTCCACACAGCCCCATACATTTAAAAACAGGGGAAAGGAGGAGAGAAACACAAGGCCAAAGTGAAACAAAGGCTCTTGTGATTAGCAGCCGGCCACCCCCATGGGCCTGTCACTGTGGAACTCTGTCTCTGTGGTCGGGGGGCAGGAATTTTAGTGTGACTGCGGCACAAAGCAGAGCCTGTTATTTCAGTGTTATTGTATGCTTGGGCCAGGCCTCTTCCTCCTCTGGCCTGGACACAGGAAGTCCAGTCAGGGACAGACAATGAAGGAAGGGGGTGGTGGGCTAACTCAGGGATGGTTCTTGACCCTCACAGGGCTTAAATATGTGACCCCAGAATGTTTAGACTAACCCCCTTTTCAACCAGACTTTTGTCATCAGCGCAACCTATGGCATTTATTGTCTCACCTGAAATACTGGTTTAGACATTTAACAATACATAGGCTTTGGTGTTGTCTAGTTTTCCTGTTAGGTGTTGGTTTTGTTCCTGTCTCTCATCACACCTGTACTTTCCAATGACATGCTGGTTTGCTAGACTGCACAAACAGGGTACATTGGGTATGTGTTCCGCCCTTCTTTCAGGTGGATTTATGAGCCTGGCGAGAGACTCATTCTGAAAGCACAGTGTAAGCGATTAATTGGAGCTAGCATGGAGAACAGCTTCAGCCCTACTTTGTCTTTCACCATCACCATGCTATATTAATTGTCACCTGCAGATTGCTCAGGAAGTCAATGAGAGGTTTGCCATATAGCCTAGACAGGTGAGACGTATAAATGCTGTGTGTAGCTCCGAGGAATGCGTTACAAAATACTGCAGCTAATTATTCAAGATGTTTTGCATTTAGCTGGGCCAGCAGAGACCTGACAGATCCCATCAGAATGCAGCAGCTCATGCAAGGGAAAAAGGACAGATAAGCGTTCATGATCAAAGCTTGATTCATAGCTGCTGTAGGTTGAGGCTCCAGCTCCCTCTCAAACCTGGCTTACTGCTGGACCTTTCCTATTGGGTTTAGTGGCAGAAATAGTGGCAGCCAACACCCAAGATGTATCCTCATCTCAGTGCCTGTCTGGGCCTCCTGACCTGAAGCCCTATATTAAACACTGTCTGGTCCCAGTATTTGATCCCCTGCTGATTTTGTACATTTGCCCACTGACAAAGAAATGATCAGTCTATAATTTTAATGGTAGGTTTATTTGAACAGTGAGAGACAGAATAACAACAAAAAAATCCAGAAAAACGCATGTCAAAAATGTTATAAATAAATTTGCATTTTAATGAGGGAAATAAGTATTTGACCCCCTCTCAATCAGAAATATTTCTGGCTCCCAGGTGTCTTTTATACAGGTAACGAGCTGAGATTAGGAGCACACTCTTAAAGGGAGTGCTCCTAATCTCAGTTTGTTACCTGTATAAAAGACACCTGTCCACAGAAGCAATCAATCAATCAGATTCCAAACTCTCCACCATGGCCAAGACCAAAGAGCTCTCCAAGGATGTCAGGGACAAGATTGTAGACCTACACAAGGCTGGAATGGGCTACAAGACCATCACCAAGCAGCTTGGTGAGAAGGTGACAACAGTTGGTGCGATTATTTGCAAATGGAAGAAACACAAAATAACTGTCAATCTCCCTCAGCCTGGGGCTCCATGCAAGATCTCACCTCGTGGAGTTGCAATGATCATGAGAACGGTGAGGAATCAGCCCAGAACTACACGGGAGGATCTTGTCAATGATATCAAGGCAGCTGGGACCATAGTCACCAAGAAAACAATTGGTAACACACTACGCCGTGAAGGACTGAAATCCTGCAGCGCCCGCAAGGTCCCCCTGCTCAAGAAAGCACATATATAGGCCCGTCTGAAGTTTGCCAATGAACATCTGAATGATTCAGAGGAGAACTGGGTGAAAGTGTTGTGGTCAGATGAGACCAAAATCGAGCTCTTTGGCATCAACTCAACTCGCCGTGTTTGGAGGAGGAGGAATGCTGCCTATGACCCCAAGAACACCATCCCCACCGTCAAACATGGAGGTGGAAACATTATGCTTTGGGGGTGTTTTTCTTCTAAGGGGACAGGACAACTTCACCGCATCAAAGGGACGATGGACGGGGCCATGTACCGTCAAATCTTGGGTGAGAACCTCCTTCCCTCAGCCAGGGCATTGAAAATGGGTCGTGGATGGGTATTCCAGCATGACAATGACCCAAAACACACAGCCAAGGCAACAAAGGAGTGGCTCAAGAATAAGCACATTAAGGTCCTGGAGTGGCCTAGCCAGTCTCCAGAACTTAATCCCATAGAAAATCTGTGGAGGGAGCTGAAGGTTCGAGTTGCCAAACGTCAGCCTCGAAACCTTAATGACTTGGAGAAGATCTGCAAAGAGGAGTGGGACAAAATCCCTCCTGAGATGTGTGCAAACCTGGTGGCCAACTACAAGAAACGTCTGACCTCTGTGATTGCGAACAAGGGTTTTGCCACCAAGTACTAAGTCATGTTTTGCAGAGGGGTCAAATACTTATTTCCCTCATTAAAATGCAAATCAATTTATAACATTGTTGACATGCGTATTTCTGGATTTTTTTGTTGTTATTCTGTCTCTCAATGTTCAAATAAACCTATCATTAAAATTATAGACTGATCATGTCTTTGTCAGTGGGCAAACATACGAAATCAGCAGGGGATCAAATACTTTTTTCCCTCACTGTATGACTTACCTGCTCTCCTTATCTTCACTCCCTCTGTAACATAGGGCTGTAAAAGGTGTAAGGATTATGTTATAAATTAGAACTGGAACAGTTTGCACAGTGCTGAACTGTGAGTGACCATGTGGCTCAGTCTGCCCAGATTGCTGCTTGATCCAGAGTTTCTAACTGCTCTCTTCATCTGTTGTGCTTTTGCAGCCTGAGCGAGAGCTTCTTCATGGTGAAGGGTGCCGCCCTCTTCCTGCAGCAGGGCAGCAGTCCTCAGGACCAGAAAGCACATCCCCACCACAAACATGCAGGTGAGTACCTACCATACAACCAAAGGACAGGACCCAATGGAAGTTTGGGCTGCCAGGCAAAGTTGGTAAATGGTCCCAAAACTCGAGACAAATTAACTTCATTACTCTGTCCATCTTAGAGACAGTGTTGTAATTGTTGTTGTTTTGTTTGGTTAGCCTATTTGTTGCTTTGTCTGATGAGTCTCTCTACCTGCTGGCCTGGAAAGCACACCAGATGAGTGAGTGCACCCGAGTTGAGGTGGACAGTGTCTGGCTGATTATTAGCATATTCCAGACGTGTCGTGTGTAGCTTAGGCAGATTAGTGGTTAAGTAGGACTACAGTATGTGTGGCTGCTGGTTGTGTTCAGTAGTAGGCCTACTTCTGTTCCGTATCAATCAAAACAGGACACTGAGGGTTTGTCATTTGGCAGTAGGGCTGTCCCCGACAAAATACATCTTCATAGACCGAAAGTCATCTGTTGTTTCGACTAATTGATTGGTCAACATTTTTAAACATGTATTTTTCCATATATATATATATGTGTTTGAATAAAATCAACTATATGCATTGAGCTTATCTGATGCTTTAAGCTTACGGTTTGATGAAATAAGACAAATGTCTCAAGAGGGCGCCAGAGATCTTAACCTTAACCTGACCCATCTATTCTCCTCCCGCTCCTGCTGGCTTTCGCAGATTCTGCCGTTACTCTCCTGAAGTTGCCGGTAATAGGCTACACGAGGAGTCGGCAACCTTTCTCATGTTGAATGCCAATTTATCTTACCATTTCTACCGATCTGCGTGCCAGTTATGATTTTCATATTAAAATTTTCATGAAACAGTTTCATTTAATTTATAAGAACGTTTCATATCTCAAAATCATTGTCATGTGGTTAATATTTTGTTGCCATTGCCAACTATGTAAAAATAGCCTACATAAAGCCAACAAATAAAAACATTGCAGCCTGCAGGTAGAAAAAATCCTGGTAAAAAAAGAAAAAAATCCTATAAATCACATTGGCTACACATGGCCTGTCTGCAACGAACCTGAAACATTGTACCAACTATTAACTTGGGTCCGGCCGATTGCAACATTGTATAAAGTATTCTGGGGCCTCAGTGTTTCCTGCGCCAGTGAGCTCAGGACAGACACAGCTGTAGGCTATTTGCGCAAGGGATAAGAAGCAGTGCTTGACTTGGGCAGGAGCTCACTGGAGCTGAGTACGAGCACCTCAAATGTTCTACTGCTTGAGCTCCTGTTCCTCTTATAGAATATTAGCTCAAACGTATTGTGGAGCTCCTGCACCTAACTATAGTACCAGTTTCAGTCCAAGTCAAGCACTGATAAGAAGGAATCAGGTAGGCCTATTTTATGACGTTTCCACTGGATCACAGCATGACATTTTTCCGTTTCACGCTAAGTGGTTATCAAAAGGGAGAGAGCTGGAAAGATTTTTCAAATACATTGAGGAACTATTGTAATTCTCAATGGATGTAAAAACAGACTTTGTTTGTTTGCGGTTTTAGGTGAAGAAAATATTACTTTGAGAAGCTCCACATGTCATTAGTGGTGGTGCGCGTTAAGCCAATCAGAAATACTATCAGATCCCCAAATGGGCACATTTAAATGCCTACATTTGCGCGCAGGCCAGGTAGCCTATAGGCCTACTTCTATGCGTGCGTGTCCTTACTCAACATTGACAGGAGCGCTCCAAACAAAAGACAATGACACAATGAAATAAACCAAAACTTATTTCTCACAAGTGTAGCATAGGTTGTGCACTCTGCAAACAATGTGTCCACTCAGACAATGATAATGGAAAGACTGGAATAATAATAATACTGAATGCATCAAAAGAGGTTCCAGTGTTTAGCCACCGGTATAATGTAAAGTATGATATTTCAGGTATGATTCTAAGGCAGAGGTTTTAATTGGTTAAAAACAAGATCCTGCAGCTGCTTGGGGAGAGCTTAACATGCACTCTCAATATCACAGAGAACCAAGGATCGTTTTTTTTCTCCCACTGCTGTTCTAGTTTTACTCTGTGAGCCATTATTTTGTTCATTTGATTCCAATTAGTTTCTCATTTTTGGTTCCCTTGTTTAAGTGAATTAAAATGGAATTTGGAATCGTTTGCGTCACCAAGTGAGTTGACTGAACTTGAGGACATTCAGGATTGGCTGCTAGCCCACATTGAGTGATTCAGTTGGTAGGGAGTTACTGCAGGATGCAGTCATGTGTTTCTTATAGAGAAAGTACTGCCTGTGGAAAGTGAATAGGCCAGTTTTTTTTTTTAGGTTGTTTGCTGTAGGACAGAATGTTTTCAAATAGGAATGGATAATCTCCTAAGCCTAGCCTCTGGGTAACGTTTATCCTGTAGCCCACTACCAGTGAACATTGCGCCTTGTAGTTAGAATACTTAGCGGTGCCCTCAGGTTGTGAGGTGACTGATTTCTGATCCATGAGCTGAGGCCACACTGTGCAGTCCCTTCTGTCTGAGTAACCCCAATCTTGGCTGGCCACTATCTTTTGTCAAAGCTGTAATAGTGGCAGGAGATATGTCATGAAAACACCACCCAGTGAAGAACTTGCAGAACTTCCAAAACAAAAAGAAAGATACCCGAGTGTCAACTGAAGTGGGCCTCAACCAAACCAAATGCAGAGATTAGCATTTGTCTCAGAAGTGAGACTGAGCATCTGAGCTGAGCTGAGGAGAACTCCTATAGCCCCTGGCTGTTAAGGCCCAGAACAGTTGCAGAGTAAAGTACTAACTTACTAATACATGTAAATGAATATACAGTACCAGTCAAAAGTTTGGACACGTACTCATTCAAGGGTTTTTCTTTATTTTGAATATTTTCTACATTGTAGAATAATAGTGAACACATCAAAACTATGAAATAACACATATGGAATCATGTAGTAACCAAATAAGTGTTAAACAAATCAAAATATATTCAAAGTAGCCACCCTTTGCCTTGATGACTGCTTTGCACACTCTTGGCATTCTCTCAACCAGCTTCATGAGGTAGTCACCTGGAATGCATTTCAGTTAACAGGTGTGCCTTGTTAAAAGTGAATTTGTGGAATTTCTTTCCTTCTTAATGCGTTTGAGCCAATCAGTTGTGTTGTGACAAGGTAGGGGTGGTATACAGAAGATAGACCAAGTCCATGTTATGGCAAGAACAGCTCAAATAAGCAAAGCGAAACGACAGTCCATCATTACTTTAAGACATGAAGGTCAGTCAATCCTGAAAATGTCAAGAACTTTGAAAGTGACTACCTCATGAAGCTGGTTGAGAGAATGCCAAGAGTGTGCAAAGCTGTCATCAAGGCAAAGGGTGGCTACTTTGAAGAATATCAAATATAAAATATATTTTGATTTGTTTAATACGTTTAATCGTTTTGATGTCTTCACTATTATTCTACAATGTAGAAAATAGTTTTTAAAAATAAAGAAAAACCCTGGAATGAGTAGGTGTGTCCAAACCTTTGACTGGTACTGTATGTCTGAACGTGTCTTTATGAGGTGTCTACCTATGGATGAGCCATGAAGCAGGGGAACATGCCCAGAGCCAGCATGGCGCCGACAGCTGTAATTAAAGCCGCCCAGGAGGAGAGGACATCGTTTGTTTGCCAGTCGTCGGAACACCTTGACTGACACATGCTTGGCTGCCCCTCTTTACTTATCAACACTGTAGTGGTTAGGGTTGTAATTTAACGCCTCCATATCGAGTAGCCCTCCCTTTTTGTCTGTGTCCCAAATGTGTCCCTATTCCCTATTTAGTAGGGCTGTGGTTAAAAGTAGTTCACTACATAGATAATATGGTGCCATTTGGGACACAACCTTTATCTCACCCCAAATCAAATCAAGCTTTATTTATCTAGCATATTTCAGACATGAATGCAACACAATGCACTTCACAGGAAAAAACGAATAAACAATGAAAATAAAAACGTAACCATTTACTACACAAGAAACATAAGAGGATACAAAAAACGAAAGATAGCAATTTAAAACTGAAAGACTAAAAAAGCACCCAAAAGAAAACCTAAAAAGGTGTGTTTTAGGATCCCTTTTAAATATGTCCACAGTTTTGGCCCCCCTCAGGTTCTCTGGCAGGCTATTCCAGAGGCAGGGGGAATAGTAACTTAAAGCTGCCTCTCCATGCCTCTTGGTCCTAGGCTTTGGGATGGTTAAAAGGCCAGTGCCAGAGGACCTGAGGGACCTACTGGGTACATAACTTAAAATTATGTCTGATATGTATTGGGGTGTACAATTGTGGATTGATTTGAAAACCAATAGAAGAGTCTTAAGATTAATTCTAAAACTCACCGGCAGTCAGTGCAGAGACTTTAAAACCATTGTAGTGTGTGCTCTCCGTCTGGTCTTGGTCAGTACCTGTGCTGCAGCATTCTGTAGGTTTTGCAGTTGACCAATGGCTTTCTTGGGTAGACCAGAAAGGAGAGCATTACAGTATTATTGTGCTGTCTGTGTTGAAGCTGCAACATAATTTCAGCCATTTAGTGTCTTACTTGTTTCTGACTGAAAAGTTATGTTACCGAAATCCCTAATTTGTTTACGAAAAATATTCCCTATTCCCTCAACCCTTGCTCTCTTTACGTGAAACATGTAAGCATCGCATGCATGTGACCAATAGGGCCGGACCTATAGCCTATCATAATCACATCAATAAATTGGTTATAAACTCTGAACACAGTAATGGCGACAGCAAAATGGATGCGGAGGACGTGAAAAATTAACTGGAAACGGGCAAATGTTTACTGGTTTCTCAGGAGGGAAAGGGGAAGTCAGATCTGTGGAAGACATTTTGATTTAGTTGTGCAAACTACTGGAGATCAAGAAAAAGGAGGGTATAGGAGCAAGCGTTGTGTGAGTATTATGTGTGCATAAAGTTGCTGTTAGATTACAATATTATTATTTTTTCTGACCATTTAGAACAGTGTAAACAACACTAAATAAATAAGTGTACCAGAGAGTCTGTTCTAACAAAACAAAAAAGATATATAAAGCCTTTATTACAGCAGACTAAAAACAGTTGCATGCATTCGTGAATTGGAGTTTATTTATTGTTTAGGCTAATTATTCAAAGATCATTTTATTTAATTTTAAAACGAATGTGCTTGACTGCATTTCAAAGCATAAATGTCTCGTATGCTGTGTGATGGCATGAATGAATTAATGATTGATTGATACAGTAGCATATATATTGAATTATAAATTGTGTGGTTAAAGCCCTGAATGCTGATTGGCTGACAGCCGTGGTACATATATTTTTACTGCTCTAATTACATTGGTAACCAGTTTATAATAGCAATAAGGCACCTCTGGGGTTTGTGGTATATGGCCAATTTACCATGGCTAAGGGCTGTATCCAGGCACTCCGCATTGCTTCGTACATAAGAACAGCCCTTAGCCGTGGTATATTGGCCATATACCACACCCCCTCGTGCCTTATTGCTTAAATATAGGCCTAAGTAAGTTACAGTATTAAGACTAAACACGACACGCTCTTAGGCCTACAGCTCGATGGTGGTTATACAAGGCTACTATAGAACGCCTACTAATGATAACGACATTACTTATTATTATAATGATGATTGTAATAATAATTGTAATAATAACAATAAGAAGGAGATCAAGAAAAAGGAGGGTATAGGAGCGAGAGCTGCGTGCATATTATGTGACAAACAGGTGCTGTTAGATTACAATATTATTTTTCTGCCTGTTTGGAACAGTGTAAAGAACACTAAATAAATGTATAAGTAATACCAGTCTGTTCTAACGAAAAAAACAAACATGTAAAGCCTTTATTACTGCATAGCAAAGATTAAAAACAGCCGAAATTGCTTTATCCGACATTTGGCCGTTGCATGAGGCTTGGTGCTCACGGAATCAGTAGGCTATTAAACAAACACTCAAACAGGCAACAGAAGCAAGATCTGTCTTCTTTCTGAAGGGTTTTCTTGATTTTTTACATTGTAGAATAATAGTGATGACAAACTATGAAATAACAGATGGAATCATGTAGTAAACAAAAAAGTGTTAAACAAATCAAAATATATTTTATATTTGAGATTCTTCAAATAGCCACCCTTTGCCTTGATGACAGCTTTGCACACTCTTGGTATTCTCTCAACCAGCTTCACCTGGAATGCTTTTCCAACAGTCTTGAAGGAGTTCCCATATATGCTGAACATTTGTTGGCTGCTTTTCCTTCACTCTGCGGTCCGACTCATCCCAAACCATCTCAATTGGGTTGAGGTCGGGGGATTGTGGAGGCCAGGTCATCTGATGCAGCACTCCATCATTCTCCTTCTTTATAAAATAGCCCTTACATAGCCTGGAGGTGTGTTGGGTCATTGTCCTGTTGAAAAACAGATGATAGTCCCACTAAGCCCAAACCAGATGGGATGGCATATCGCTGTAGAATGCTGTGGAAGCCATGCTTGTTAAGTGTGCCTTGAATTCTAAATAAATCACAGACAGCGTCACCAGCAAAGCACCACCACACCATAACACCTCCTCCTCCATGCTTTACGGTGGGAAATACACATGCAGAGATCATCCGTTCATCCATACCGCGTCTCACAAAGACACGGCGGTTGGAACCAAAAATCTCAAATTTGGATTCCAGACCAAAGGACAGATTTCCACCAGTCTAATGTCCATTGCTCGTGTTTCTCGGCCCAAGCAAGTCTCTTCTTCTTATTGGTGTCCATTAGTAGTGGTTTCTTTGCAGCAATTCGACCATGAAGGCCTGATTCACACAGTCCCCTCTGAACAGTTGATGTTGAGATGTGTCTGTTACTTGAACTCTGTGAAGCATTTATTTGGGCTGCAATTTCTGAGGCTGGTAACTCTAATGAACTTATCCTCTGCAGTAGAGGTAACTCTGGGTCTTCCATTCCTGTGGCGGTCCTCATGAGAGCCAGTTACATCATAGCGCTTGATGATTTTTGCGACTGCACTTGAAGAAACTTTCAAAGTTCTTGAAATGTTCCGTATTGACTGGTTAAAGTAATGATGGACTGTCGTTTCTCCTTGCTTATTTGAGCTGTTCTTGCCATAATATGGACTTTAACCAAATAGGGCTATCTTCTGTATAGCCCCCCCCCCCCCACACACACACCTTGTCACAACACAACTGATTGGCTCAAACGCATTAAGAAGGAAAGAAATTCCACAAATTAACTTTTAAGAAGACACACCTGTTAATTGAAATGCATTTCAGGTGACTACCTCATGAAGATGGTTGAGAGAATGCCAAGTGTTTGCAAAGCTGTCATCAAGGCAAAGGGTGGCTATTTAAAGAATCTCAAATATAAAATATATTTTTTATTTGTTTAACACTTTTTTGATTACTACATGATTCCATATGTGTTATTTCATAGTTTTGATGTCTTCACTATTATTCTGCAATGTAGAAAATAGTAAAAATAAAGAAAAAACCTGGAATTAGTAAGTGTGTCCAAACTTTTGACTGATACTGTATATATTGGTGATTTATAAAGCCAGGCACATTTAACAGTCTATTGATTATAGACCTAATTCAATTGGGGTTTCCTCTCTCCTCAGTTTTCTTAGACAATTAGGCTAAGGTAAGGGCTGTTTCCTCATCTCTGCAGCTGCTGCCTCCGCCACATTGTTCTCTTAACTTTGCTATTATGCACATAGCAACATAGGGAAAGGCACCAATTCTATGGCGCACTGAAGATTATGTTTCAGAACCGCGGACAGCGACCGTATCCAATGTGGGAGAAAGCACATTTGTTATAAAATAATATTAGATTTATTAGTGTTGCACCATTATTTTTACATAATATAACCATATACAATTTCAGTATCACATGTCTTAGAGTGATGGACTGTGCCATCCCCGTTGCCTCCGCAATGGATTAGTCCACTGAGACAGGCGTGAATCAAACAGGTGTCTTGTGCCCCATGAAATCAAAAAATTATTGCGAATGCTCGACTAAAAAATCTTTGTCGACCAACAGCCTATCGACCAAACAATCGACCAGTCGACTAAATGGGGTCAGCCCTAGTTGGCTCTAAGATCTTTTACAACTTTAACTAAGGATGTCTCTGTGCTGTGGTGGGCATGAAAACCAGATTGGAATTTTTCAAGAATCATTTAGCTGTATCAAAACCAATTTCTCCAGAATTTTGCTTAAGAATGGAAGGTTGGCTGAAAATGTCTAAGAGCTGAAGAATCTAGATTACTTTTATTCAGAAGTGGTTTCACCATAGCAGTTTTTAGTGCAGTGGGGAAAGTGCCTGAACAGGGAGTGATTCATAATAGCTTGCACTTCTTCAGATATGCAATTAAAACTTTTTTGAAGAAGGTGGTGGGGATACATTTTCCCTTCATTTTTTAGACACTGAGCAAATTTCAGGTTTGCTGAGTGCAAACTTGAGCGTTGTGAAAATTCTGTGCAACTTCCATTGCGCGTTTACTGTGAACACTGAGGCTGTACCCGCTTTAAGTTACAGTTTTAACAGTGGCCATGTAAGCTACTGTGGCTATTTGATCATATTGTTGGCCTACCATAAAAAACAATGGAGAAAATACATCCCATAATATTTTAACATAGCTGTTCTATCATTCAGCCTACAGTAGCAGCCAATGTGTGGTGTTCATTGTAGGCCTACTTTCCATGAGAAGAAGAAATAAAACTTGCAGGGCTTGACATTAACCTGTTTATCCACTTGTCCTTCAGACAAGGAGGTGACTGAAAATGTTGTTGTTGTGTTTGATGCAAGAAACCACTTTACAAAATAAAATGCATTATTATTCCCATACCATTATTACAGAGAATCAGAACATTTTTGCTACCCTCTGCCTATTGGCTACTTGTTGTTGTGTTTGATGCAAGAAACCACTTTACAAAATAAAATGCATTATTATTCCCATACCATTATTACAGAGAATCAGAACATTTTTGCTACCCTCTGCCTATTGGCTACCTCGCTTATTCAAGCCTGTCTCAAAATACAACAATGCCCCTTTAAGACAAACAAATGCTCTTTACCTGACTCGCTTTTCAAAGATGTCTAGAAATGTGTACGTTTTGTGCTCTTGTAGGAAGCAATTATTCCCCTATTGCCTGACTACAAATTATCTATAACTGGGCTAATAACTCACTAACTAGCAAAGGACAAAATGTGCACACGTGGCTACATGCAGCTCTCGCTTTGATCTCTACTCACGATCACTCATGCTGTAAACAGTTCAAAGTAAATGTCACAGATCCAAATGTGGCAATGGTCTATTTGCATATAGGCCTACTGCAGCTCTGATTGTTTCTGCCGCACGGGTCTGTGTACAGTAGGGGCTGAGTAGTGTGTGTCAATGCAATAGAATCCTACTCCGATGCGTTCTGCCTACAACAAAATATCTTGCATAGTTCGGTTTGTTTCGGTATGCTGCATTGAAAGTGGCTAATATTGCGTTGATTCGATCACAATTGTCACAGTAAAGGGGAACGTTAACAGGGAAAACTATAGAACAGTGATCACCAAACCTTTTCTAAGTCAAAATGCAAACGTAAGCCTATGCAACATTAACCAATTAAAAATAGTACTTTAGCAATGAGGTTTGTGCAGTAAGCTATAGGTCTAATACATTATTCTCGCATACTGGCTTTGCTTGAATTGCCTTGCTAATGCATTGTTGTTCGGGCCATTTAAAAAAAATTATATTTCAAAATTTGAGGTAGGCTATATGATAACACCGGTAATAGATCCGTTGTTTTTTTTAGTGATCCAATTTACATTTTAGTCATTTAGCAGACGCTCTTATCCAGAGCGACTTACAATGAGTGAGTGCATACATTTTTCATACTGGCCCCCCGTGGGTTGTTGTATTTCTTGTGAAGCACAGCTGAGTGAGCATACATTTTAAATAATTTGCTTTTTATTTTTATTTTACTGGGCTGATGGTGCCTGCATCTGATGTTCAGTCTCAGCGGAGGGAGAGAGCAGCAGACTGAGAGACCGCCTCTCATTATCCCTCCGCTCGCCCTTTCCTCCACTGACACTGACCAAAAAGGTACACCGTCTTCCAGCTGATGGTGAAACTCGAGTCGCACCGCATTATTTCTGCCTCCTATGAACAGAGAAAGTGAAATATTCCTCAATATTAAAAAAGACCCAAGCTGCTAATAATAACAACAACGCAAGCCTACACTTTCCTACTCATTCATTACTGCTGCAGTGCTTGTTGTAGCGCTGAGTGAAACGCATTTTATGGCTTATAAAAGTGTTGAATACAAAGTGTTGAAAGTGCTGAGTAAGGACTTAAACATGAACTCACTCAAAAAAACAGCATCTCTTTGCTGTATTCGTTGACAGTCTCTCTCTAGTCATGGTTTTAAACGTTTTGAAATCTCACAGTTTCAACTTTGCTGTAGCTTTCTTTTACGCCTGCTACGTTACTGCAGACGCAGTCATCTGAGTCATATGATTGGTCAGCGGTAAGTTATAGTGCACTTGATTTGCTCTCTGGGCCTGCCGGGACACATTAAATTGTTCAAAATGGCAACAGTTCGTCTACCCGGCGCGCAGGGCAGCTGTATCGGGTGCACCTAAATGAAGATAAGGCTTTATCGTTGGGTTTCTTATAGGCGTTTTTGGCGATCGACTAGGAATGCCTTGGAGATCGACCAGTCGTTCGCGATCGACCGGTTGGTGACCACTGCTCTAGAACGTTGAGTGAAGTTCAATCTCGTGCTTCTCTCTGTGGGCTGATATTTATGCGTGGTAGTCCCGGCGGAGCTGCTCGGCAGTCTCGGGGCTACTGCTCGCGTTTAGAGGGAACATTGGTAGTAGGCTATTCTGAATTATTTCATTTATTTCTGAACAGACCGCAGTAACTATAACTTTGGCAAATTTATTTCAATTTATCAGGCCTGCTGCAGCTCCTCCAGAATCCTTTGCATGGGTCTGTAAGAAAATAAATTATGAAGTGCAATGCTGGAGAGATGAGAGTTGCAGGCTCATGTCTATCAGAGCAGAGATCGGGAGAGAGGTCATAGAAAGTGAATCTCATTATAGTTCTGTGAGAGATAGGAGGGGGGGGGGCAACTCGAATGAACTTTGACTGCGTTTATTAGAAAAGTGACAATTATTTTTCATGCCACGAGAGGTACCGGATCCGGCCAAATTGGTTCCGGAACGAAACAGTCCATGTGCTGTATCCTGTTGTGGCAGGTTCCGGCTCAAATTAAGCACTGGAAAGCTGTTTTGACTTTGCGGCTGTGTTATCTGGTGGACATATTTTCACTCTGTCAATGAAAGGCGCTGCATGGTCAATCTCATGGCCTCTGCAGAAGGCAGGGCATTCAAACTTCTTGCGCTTGGCGGAGCAGTGCAGAGCTGTTGTCAAGGAAATGAGTTTGTGTTTATACAAGACCTCCCGCCCTCACCTACCGTCAAACGATCATGTCAATGTGGAGCGATATGTAGCCCTCCACATTGTTAAACAATTTATGAGGCGCATGGCGATGCGGTGTGGAGCTAAATTTGGCCTCTGCTTGCCTCCAGAGGCTCTGCAATTGGGTCAAACCATCTATATGGCCACATTTTCGGATCAAGCATAAATTGGCTCTTAGGTTAGTATTGTGGAGTAACTACAATGTTGTTGATTCATCCTCAGTTTTCTCCTATAATAATAATAATATGCCATTTAGTAGACGCTTTTATCCAAAGCGATTTACAGTCATGTGTGCATACATTTTTACATATGGGTGGTCCCGGGGATCGAACCCACTACCCTGGCGTTACAAGCGCCATGCTCTACCAATTGAGCTACAGAGGACCACCTATCACAGCCATTAAACTCTGTAGCTGTTTTAAAGTCACCATTGGCCTCATGGTTGAAATCCCAGAGTGGTTTCCTTCCTCTCCGGCAACTGAGTTAGGAAGGACGCCTAATCCAGGCACTTGTCATCTCCCGTCTGGATTACTGCAACTCGCTTTTGGCTGGGCTCCCTGCCTGTGCCATTAAACCCCTACAACTCATCCAGAATGCCGCAGCCCGTCTGTTGTTCAACCTTCCCAAGTTCTCTCACGTCACCCCGCTCCTCCGCACACTCCACTGGCTTCAAAAAAAAAAACATTGTAAAGTGGTTATCCCACTGGCTATAAGTTGAATGCACCTATTTGTAAGTCGCTCTGGATAAGAGCGTCTGCTAAATGACGTAAATGTAAATGTAAATGTAGTGAGTGGGTGTATTGATTCACCATCCAAAGTGTAATTAATAACTTCACCATGCTCAAAGGGATATTCAATGTCAGCTTTATTTAAAAAATTGTACCCATCTACAAATAGGTGCCCTTCTTTGTGGTTGAATCAGTGTTTGAAATTCACTGCTTGGCTGAGGGACCTTACAAATAATTGTATGTGTAGGGTACCGAGATGAGGTAGTCATTCAAAAATCATGTTAAACAGAGTGAGTCCATGCAACCTATGATGTGACTTGTTAAGCAAATGTTTACTCAAAGGTGTTGAATACTTATTGACTCAAGACATTTCAGCTTTTCATTTTTTATTAATTAGTAAACATTTCTAAAAACATAATTCCACTTTGACATTATGGGGTATTGTGTGTAGGCCAGTGACAATTTTTTAAAATCAATTTTACATTCAGGCTGTAACGCAACAAAATGTGGAAAAAGTCAAGGGGTGTGAATACTTCATGAAGGCACTGTATGTGGGTTGTTGATAAACTTACAGAAATTTTGATATTAGTTGGCAGGGGTCTTTACGTCAACATTATTGTGTTTTGATATATTTCACTCACTCACTCAACAATGGAGTATATTGAGTTCTCTTTTATGTTCTCACTCAACATCCATTGCCCGTGGCATGATGAGTGATGTTCAGTTTCAAATGTCAAGATTTGTTTTATATGACTAAAATGTATTTATAATCACATAAAACCATGTTATCTGATGACACTAACCAATCAGGTGTTGTCATGGATATCTTTTATTTTTTATATATTTTTTTATGTTCTCTCGCAATAGGAGACTTACCTCAGCACCTGCAGGTGATGATCAACATTCTTCGCTCGGAGGACCGAATCAAACTGGTAAGAGACAACACACACACACACACACACACACACACACACACACACACACACACACACACACACACACACACTTCCCCACAGCCCTGGCCAGTGACTAACCACCTGGCACCATGACATAGTCAACCTGCCTGAATGCTTTTTATTGTGTATTAAAGACTTGTTTGCTCACTGTAATTATTTAATAATGAGAACATGTTTGAACTCACACAGAAGAGCATTACCAAGTGTTTCCATGGTGTCTGTGAAATGGAGAGTTTATTAGTTTGTTACCTACCACTATGTTCTCACACTCCATTGGAATGATGCCTCCCATGTATTAACAAACTGTTTTTGACTGAGAGAAATTACTTTAGAGGATTGGAGTGTATGTGTGTGTTATGGTTGGACTGTATTGGTGTTATGCTCATGCTATGTACTTGTGGAATTACATGATGCAGACTGTGTGTACCCTCTATATTCAGAGTCAGTTTGTATTACCTTTAATCAGATTCACATGTTGGGAGAGGTGCGTGGACAGGTAGGCCATGTAGCCTAGTTGTTGATGAACCTGTCATGTCCTCTGGTACAGGCGGTGCGGTTGGAGAGTGCCTGGTCAGACAGAGTGCGCTACATGGTGGTGGTGTACACCAGCGGACGACAGGACACGGAGGAGAACATCCTGCTAGGCATAGACTTCAGCGACAAGGACAGGTGTGTATGGGCCTGGGCCTGGGCCTGGGCCAGCTCCTGGCTGTGTGTGTGTGTGTGTGTGTGTGGCTCTTTCCTCACTTGCTATGGTCGTCCTTGATGCCAGATGTTAGACCCTTGTTGTTGTAGCAGCATCTCCATTTGAAGTCAAACCAGATGTGTTGTACTGATCTGCTGGGAACGTGTATTTTTGTGTTGTTCCCAGTAAAAGCTGCTCCGTTGGCATGGTGCTGCCTCTTTGGAGTGACACCAAGATCCATCTGGATGGAGACGGGTGAGTGAGTCCCCCATAGACATACAATTGTTCTATATCTGTGACCCCTCTGTCAGACTACAGCCCCCTGCTGGACACTCTGGAGAGAAACAGCTCTGTTTGCTTAAAGTTGTAATAACTGGAAAACCTGTAACTGGAATACCTGTAACTGGAATAACTGGAATACCTGTAACTGGAATAACTGGAATACCTGTAACTGCAATAACTGGAATACCGAGCACAGCACAGCCTAATTTGCTAAAATGACTTTGACCTCCACATGTGTTTTGATAGAGAGTTATGTTTTAGTGGTTACTAGGTAATAATCAGTGTGTGATCGGGGAGAGTCATTGCCTGTCTTGTGTCTCCCTCAGGGGTTTCAGTGTGAACACAGTGAGCCGGAATCATGTCTTCAAACCTGTGTCTGTACAGGCCATGTGGTGAGTAGACACAACCGTAGGAATGACTGCGTAATACATTGTTGTTAATGAAGCAATCCCACATCAATACATTGGCTGCTGAATTCATATCAGAGCACACGGTTGAGGCATTTCAATACTCTCACTCTGCCAAATACTGGTGTAGAGATGCAGGTGCATGCATCAATCAATCAATCAATCAAATGTATTTTATATATCCCTTTTTATATCAGCAATTGTCACAAAGTGCTTTACAGATACTCAGCCTAAAATGAATGCCATTCGTTCATGTGAATCAGCTCATTGCCCTTTAAAAGCCTATTGGTAGAAAATGATTATACTGCACCACATTTCTCCCAGATTAACAAAGATGGTTGATTGAAGATAAATTGACCCACTTTGACCAGTGTCTCTTTCTAACCCCTGTCCCAGGTCGGCTCTGCAGATTCTTCACAAGGTGTGTGAGGTGTCCCGCAGATACAACTACTTCCCCGGGGGCATGGCCCTCACCTGGATGGGTTACTATGAGAGCTGCATCGCCTCAGAGCAGAGCTGCATCAACGAGTGGAATGCCATGAGAGACCTGGAGATCTTGCGGCCTGACTCTCCCACCATGTTTGTCGACAAGTGAGTCTACAGAAATTGCAAATGGATATGAAATAATATATTAATAGTTTCACACAAAGTCAAACATATACAGTGGGGAAAAAAGTATTTAGTCAGCCACCAATTGTGCAAGTTCTCCCACTTAAAAAGATGAGAGAGGCCTGTAATTTTCATCATAGGTACACGTCAACTATGACAGACAAAATGAGGAAAAAAATTCCAGAAAATCACATTGTAGGATTTTTAATGAATTGATTTGCAAATTATGGTGGAAAATAAGTATTTGGTCAATAACAAAAGTTTCTCAATACTTTGTTATATACCCTTTGTTGGCAATGACACAGGTCAAACGTTTTCTGTAAGTCTTCACAAGGTTTTCACACACTGTTGCTGGTATTTTGGCCCATTCCTCCATGCAGATCTCCTCTAGAGCAGTGATGTTTTGGGGCTGTCACGGGGCAACACAGACTTTCAACTCCCTCCAAAGATTTTCTATGGGGTTGAGATCTGGAGACTGGCTAGGCCACTCCAGGACCTTGAAATGCTTCTTACGAAGCCACTCCTTTGTTGCCCGGGCGGTGTGTTTGTGATCATTGTCATGCTGAAAGACCCAGCCACATTTCATCTTCAATGCCCTTGCTGATGGAAGGAGGTTTTCACTTAAAATCTCACGATACATGGCCCCATTCATTCTTTCCTTTACACGGATCAGTCGTCCTGGTCCCTTTGCAGAAAAACAGCCCCAAAGCATGATGTTTCCACCCCCATGCTTCACAATAGGTATGGTGTTCTTTGGATGCAACTCAGCATTCTTTGTCCTCCAAACACGACGAGTTGAGTTTTTACCAAAAAGTTCTATTTTGGTTTCATCTGACCATATGACATTCTCCCAATCCTCTTCTGGATCATCCAAATGCACTCTAGCAAACTTCAGACGGGCCTGGACATGTACTGGCTTAAGCAGGGGGACACGTCTTGCACTGCAGGATTTGAGTCCCTGGCGGCGTAGTGTGTTACTGATGGTAGGCTTTGTTACTTTGGTCCCAGCTCTCTGCAGGTCATTCACTAGGTCCCCCCGTGTGGTTCTGTGATTTTTGCTCACCGTTCTTGTGATCATTTTGACCCCACGGGGTGAGATCTTGCGTGGAGCCCCAGGTCGAGGGAGATTATCAGTGGTCTTGTATGTCTTCCATTTCCTAATAATTGCTCCCACAGTTGATTTCTTCAAACCAAGTTGCTTACCTATTGCAGATTCAGTCTTCCCAGCCTGGTGCAGGTCTACAATTTTGTTTCTGGTGTCCTTTGACAGCTCTTTGGTCTTGGCCATAGTGGAGTTTGGAGTGTGACTGTTTGAGGTTGTGGACAGGTGTCTTTTATACTGATAACAAGTTCAAACAGGTGCCATTAATACAGGTAACGAGTGGAGGACAGAGGAGCCTCTTAAAGAAGAAGTTACAGGTCTGTGAGAGCCAGAAATCTTGCTTGTTTGTAGGTGACCAAATACTTATTTTCCACCATAATTTGCAAATAAATTCATAAAAAATCCTACAATGTGATTTTCTGGAGAAAAAAAATCTCAATTTGTCTGTCATAGTTGACGTGTACCTATGATGAAAATTACAGGCCTCTCTCATCTTTTTAAGTGGGAGAACTTGCACAATTGGTGGCTGACTAAATACTTTTTTTCCCTACTGTAGAAAGAGATATACAGTATAGGAAAAGTGATGGTCTGCTGGTTCTGACTGACCCATTGACTGAGAGTAGAGTAGTGTGCTAATGAAGCCTCTGTGTGTCTGTCTCTGCTGATGCAGGCCCACAGAAAGGGAACGGACAGAGTGCCTTATCAAAGCCAAACTCCGTAGCATCATGATGTTCCAGGACCTGGAGAACGTCACCTCTAAACAGGTAAGCAGAGTGGAGGGATTAACTAAATGCACACATTAGCTGCGTGCCATCCCTTTATAGTGCACTACTTTTGACCAGGCCAATAGGGCTCTGGTCAAAAGTAGTGCACAATATATGGAATAGGGTGCCATTTGGCACACGGTATTGAAAACAAATATCTTTGTATTACAGCCTTACTGACTTGTAGTGTAGTCTTCAGTCAATTTCGACCAGACATTATTTGATGTATTTTGAAACTGTAATCAGGAATATTACAAGTAGAAGTGGTAGAATATCAAATGGTTGGGAGTTGATGACTTTGCTGTCGTCTCAGATCCGAACGGAGCTGGAGCAGCATATGAACTGTAACCTGATGCAGTACAAGGAGTTCATCGACAACGAGATGCTGCTGATCCTCGGCCAGATGGACAAGGCAACGCTCATATTTGACCACCTCTATCTGGTTAGTCACCTGGCAACAACTCCTTATCCAGAACTGCTTGGTACCTCTCAAACTCTAGCCTGGTCCCAGATCTGTTTGTGCTCTTGCCAACTCCATTGTTGTCATTGGTATGACAATGATTGACAAGAAGTTGGCATGATGGCACAAACCGACTGGCACTCAGGCTACTCAAACTCTGCTTAATCTGATGAATCAAGTGCATTTTAGAGTTTTTCTCATTGGTTAAGGTCGGATCTATTTTCTCAATTAGATTTGGCCTACTGAAGCCATGATATTTGGCTGATACTGCTAGCAAAAGTAGTACTCTGGAAGAGCAACATTTGGACAGCCATAACTGTGGAGCATGTGGAGGAATTTACTGTTTATTTATGTGTAGTCAGTCTGACATTTTTCCACATTTGTTTGCAGGGATCTGAATGGAATGCCTCCAATCTGGACGAGCTTAAGGACACTGGGTAAGTACAGCCTTTTGCTAGCTACAAACAGTTCTATTCCATAGAATGAATTATTTATTGTCTCTCGTCTCCAACACTGTCAATGGAGTTCTATTTTTCAGAGGCACTAAGGTTGTCATGAATACGATTGGTTGTCACAAAGGTTGTCTCATCGATAAAACATAGATTAGTCATTGGTGTGAGTCAGAATATTGTGGGAGTATTATGGGATAGTTTCTGTCTTCATCCAATAACAAACCGTCTCTTCACCAGGGTGGGCTATATCCTCAACGTCACCAGGGAGATAGATAACTTCTTCCCAGGAACATTCTCCTACCACAACATACGGGTCTATGACGAAGAGACTACAGACCTGCTGGCCCACTGGAACGAGACGTACAACTTCATTGTTAAAGCAAAGTAAGTCCTGTTAGCCTTGAAACAGGTAAGAGGGATGGAAAGGAAAGAGATATTGCAAGGGAAAGAGCTGATAAAGCAAGCTATTCTTTACCATAACACACTCCTGTGTAATCCTTTTTTTATTCATACAGTACATACAGTGGGGAAAAAAAGTATTTAGTCAGCCACCAATTGTGCAAGTTCTCCCACATAAAAAGATGAGAGAGGCCTGTAATTTTCATAATAGGTACACGTCAACTATGACAGACAAATTGAGAAAAAAAAATCCAGAAAATCACATTGTAGGATTTTTAATGAATTTATTTGCAAATTATGGTGGAAAATAAGTATTTGGTCACCTACAAACAAGCAAGATTTCTGGCTCTCACAGACCTGTAACTTCTTCTTTAAGAGGCTCCTCTGTCCTCCACTCGTTACCTGTATTAATGGCACCTGTTTGAACTTGTTATCAGTATAAACCCTGTCCACAACCTCAAACAGTCACACTCCAAACTCCACTATGGCCAAGACCAAAGAGCTGTCAAAGGACACCAGAAACAAAATTGTAGACCTGCACCAGGCCGGGAAGACTGAATTTGCAATAGGTAAGCAGCTTGGTTTGAAGAAATCAACTGTGGGAGCAATTATTAGGAAATGGAATACATACAAGACCACTGATAATCTCCCTCGATCTGGGGCTCCACGCAAGATCTCACCCCGTGGGGTCAAAATGATCACAAGAACGGTGAGCTAAAATCCCAGAACCACACGGGGGGACCTAGTGAATGACCTGCAGAGAGCTGGGACCAAAGTAACAAAGCCTACCATCAGTAACACACTACGCCGCCAGGGACTCAAATCCTGAATGTCCCCCTACTTAAGCCAGTACATGTCCAGGCCCGTCTGAAGTTTGCTAGAGTGCATTTGGATGATCCAGAAGAGGATTGGGAGAATGTCATATGGTCAGATGAAACCAAAATAGAACTTTTTGGTAAAAAGTCAACTTGTCGTGTTTGGAGGACAAAGAATGCTGAGTTGCATCCAAAGAACACCATACCTACTGTGAAGCATGGGGGTGGAAACATCATGCTTTGGGGCTGTTTTTCTGCAAAGGGACCAAGACGACTGATCTGTGTAAAGGAAAGAATGAATGTGGCCATGTATCGTGAGATTTTGAGTGAAAACCTCCTTCCATCAGCAAGGGCATTGAAGATGAAACGTGGCTGGGTCTTTCAGCATGACAATGATCCCAAACACACCGCCCGGGCAACGAAGGAGTGGCTTCGTAAGAAGCATTTCAAGGTGCTGGAGTGGCCTAGCCAGTCTCCAGATCTCAACCCCATAGAAAATCTTTGGATGGAGTTGAAAGTCTGTGTTGCCCAGCGACAGCCCCAAAACATCACTGCTCTAGAGGAGATCTGCATGGAGGAATGGGCCAAAATACCAGCAACAGTGTGTGAAAACCTTGTGAAGACTTACAGAAAACGTTTGACCTGTGTCATTGCCAACAAAGGGTATATAACAAAGTATTGAGAAACTTTTGTTATTGACCAAATACTTATTTTCCACCATAATTTGCAAATAAATTCATAAAAAATCCTACAATGTGATTTTCTGGATTTTTTTCCCTCATTTTGTCTGTCATAGTTGACGTGTACCTATGATGAAAATTACAGGCCTCTCTCATCTTTTTAAGTGGGAGAACATGCACAATTGGTGGCTGACTAAATACTTTTTTTCCCCACTGTAGGTGATTCTCTTGGTCAGAACCACGTTGGTAGTAAATGTATCTTCCTGCTGCTTTCACTTGAGGTACAGTAATAGTAGCTTACAGAGAACTGTGAGTGACTTTACTGGGGTGTAGGACCAAGTCTGTGACCAAGTTGTCCTAGAGAAGGAAACTGAAGGTGGTTACCACTAGCAACCCAAAGGCTGTCGTTATCTTTGCCACAGACAGAGAATGGTCATCTGAGTGACAGAACTGGCAGAGGATTCTAGTATGATTCTCCTAACTACAGTTGAAGTCAGTCGGAAGTTTACATACACTTAGGTTGGAGTCATTAAAACTTGTTTTTCAACCACTCCACAAATGTATTGTTAACTAACTATAGTTTTGGCAAGTCGGTTAGGACATCTACTTTGTGCATGACACAAGTAATTTTTCCAACAATTATTTACAGACAGATTATTTCACTTATAATTCACTGTATCCCAATTCCAGTCGGTCAGAAGTTTACATACACTAAGTTGACTGTGCCTTTAAACAGCTTGGAAAATTCCAGAAAATGATGTAATGGCTTTAGAGGCTTCTGATAGGCTAATTGACATCATTTGAGTCGATTGGAGGTGTACCTGTGGATGTATTTCAAGGCCTACCTTCAAAGGCCTACCTTCAAACTCAGTGCCTCTTTGCTTGACATCATGGGGAAATGAAAAGAAATCAGCCAAGACCTCAGAAAAAAAATTATAGACCTCCACAAGTCTGGTTCATCCTTGGGAGCAATTTCCAAACGCCTGAAGGTACCACGTTCATCTGTACAAACAATAGTACGCAAGTATAAACACCATGGGACCACTCAGCCGTCATACCGCTCAGGAAGGAGACGCGTTCTGTCTCCTAGAGATGAACGTACTTTGGTGCGAAAAATGCAAATCAATCCCAGAACAACAGCAAAGGACCTTGTGAAGATGCTGGAGGAAACCGGTACAAAAGTATCTATATCCACAGTAAAACGAGTCCTATATCGACATAACCTGAAAGGCCGCTCAGCAAGGAAGAAGCCACTGCTCCAAAACCGCCATAAAAAAGCCAGACTATGGTTTGCTTCTGCACATGGGGACAAAGATCGTACTTTTTGGAGAAATGTCCTCTGGTCTGATGAAACAAAAATATTACTGTTTGGCCATAATGGCCATCGTTATGTTTGGCGGAAAAGGGGATGGCTTGCAAGCCGAAGAACACCATCCCAACCGTGAAGCACGGGGGTGGCAGCATGATACTCTGGGGGTGCTTTGCTGCTGGAGGGACTGGTGCCCTTCACAAAATAGATGGCATCATGAGGAAGGAAAATTATGTGGATATATTGAAGCAACATCTCAAGACATCAGTCAGGAAGTTAAAGCTTGGTCACAAATGGGTCTTCCAAATGGACAATGACCCCAAGCATACTTCCAAAGTTGTGGCAAAATGTCTTAAGGACAACAAAGTCAAGGTATTGGAGTGGCCATCACAAAGCCCTGACCTCAATCCTATAGAAAATGTGTGGGCAGAACTGAAAAAGTGTGTGCGAGCAAGGAGGCCTACAAACCTGACTCAGTTAGACCAGCTCTGTCAGGAGGAATGGGCCAAAATTCACCCAACTTATTGTGGGAAGCTTGTGGAAGACTAGCCGAAACGTTTGACCCAAGTTAAACAATTTAAAGGCAATGCTACCAAATACTAATTGAGTGTATGTAAACTTCTGACCCACTGGGAATGTGATGAAAGCTGAAATAAATCATTCTCTCTACTATTATTCTGACATTTAACATTCTTAAAATAAAGTGGTGATCCTAACTGACCTAAGACAGGGAATTTTTACTAGGATTAAATGTGAAGAATTGTGAAAAACTGAGTTTAAATGTATTTGGCTAAGGTGTATGTAAACTTCTGACTTCAACTGTACTTTTGCATTCATGGTGTGTTAACCCTACCAGGAAGAACCACTCCAAGTGTCTGGTCCACTGTAAGATGGGCGTCAGCCGCTCGGCCTCCACCGTTATTGCTTACGCCATGAAGGAGTATGGTTGGTCGCTGGAGAAGGCCTACAACTTTGTCAAGCAGAAGAGGAGCATCACACGGCCCAACACAGGCTTCATGAGACAGCTGGCTGAGTACGAGGGCATCCTGGACGCCAGGTACAGTCACACTCGACTACACCCTCTGTAATTACCATAGCCCAGATCAACTAGGGTAGCCCAACAAGGGATCAAAGCACTGAAATAGTGCTGTAGGTTATAGATTTTGCTGTATGTTCTATGTGTATTATTTGAGCATATCTCCCATGCTCCTCCTTACCCCCCCTCTTTTGTCCACTTCCAGTAAGCAGCGTCACAACAAGCTGTGGCGTCCTGACCGCCCCGACCCAGACTGTGACCTCCCTGAGGGCCAGCAGGCCCAGTGCTGTGGGGGGGAGGACCCAGGTAACCGGACCCCTGAGCCGGGGTTGTCCCCCTGCTATGAGGAGGCTCTTGGGGAGAAGGGGGCTGCATGTCCCCTTTCCCCCTGCAGAATGATCAGTCTGGAGGTGGACCCCGCCTACAACAACTACTACTTCCGCAGGCTGTCTGACTCGGCCCTGGACAGTGACCCCTCCACGCCTGTCCGCGCCCCGCACCTCCTGGACGTGGACCGGGTCTTCATAGAGATAGAGGACGTGGAGCGGGACGCCCTGTTGGATGACGAGGCCTTTGAGGGGCGAGAGGGCCTGCCGCTGCCACACTTTGGGCTGGCTGGGGAGGGGACGGCGGCCCAGACCTCTTGCCGAGGACAAGAGCCCCTGGAGGAGCTGCGCCTGCGTCTGGAGTTCAGCACCGTAGAGGAGGAGGACGAGGAGGAGGTTCAGAAAGATGAGGCAGAGATGGAGGCATTAGCACCGCCAGGAGGAAGAGGGGAGAGTGCAGGAGAAGGTGATGGTGAAGGAGAGGTGGAGATGGTTCAGGAAGAGGAGGGAGAGAAGGAGGGCAATGGGCTGGACCTGGTAACCCTGAACCAGAACTCCAACAATAACAACCACTTTAATACCCTGTCCAGACTCAATGTAAGTGGGAGCGGTTTTCATTATGGTGTCTTCTGTCTCTGTAATATATAACCAATTCAGATGTATATGTAATAGCTCATAATAAATAGATAACTTAACTACTAAAGAGTAATGATTATTCTATGTTTCTGACTTCTTGTTTCCCCTCTGTTTAGGACACTGCTCCTTCCAAACCCGCTCACCCAGTCAAGCCTTCAGCCCTCTCTCGATCAGACAACAAGCCCAGCCATAAAATGGATTCACTAGCCCAGGACGCTGATCACTGCCTTAACCCCACACCCCTCCCCAGTGTCTCTGTGGAGGTCCCCAGTGCCACGCTCCCTCTCCCCCCCACCTCCCCCGACACACCCTGTTCCCCCAGCCTGCTGCACCCCTGTGGCCCTCTGTGTGACTGTGCCAACTGTGCTGCCCCGCCCTCTACACCTCTACCTGATGCCCAGGACTCCCCCTGCTCTCTGACATCTGAGGACATGGCTGATGTTCTGGAGGGTGAGGCCGAGGGTGAGGAAGGGAAGCTTTTAGGGGTCTCTGAGCCTTTCCCTGTCCCAGAGCTGCTGGGACTGAGCCTGGAGGAGAAGAGGCCGGCAGTGGCCTGCTACGTGGCCCAGCAGCAGGAGACTCTAGTGCAGCTACAGAGGTCAGGGCTGGTCCGCCGGAGGGCAGAGAGGCTGGAGAGGCTGTCAGGTCTGTCCCAGGAGGGGCTTCATCCCCTGGAGCCTCTAGACAGCCCCCACTCAGGAGCCAGGGAGGGCCACAGCCCTGTGGAGGTGGAGTTCTCAGCCTTCCCAGAAGACTTCCCCAAGTCCTCCACGCCATGCCCAGTGCCCCTAGAGCTGCTGGTGGTTCCTCTGACTAACGAGGCCCTGCTGGGTGCAGTGGGGTCTGGGGGGCTGACGCCCACCTCCTCCCCCCATGGCTCCACACTGACACGTAGCTCCAGCAGTGACAGCATCCGCAGCGTCAGGGGCAAACCCGGCCTGGTGCGACAGAGGGCTCAGGAGATCGAGACCCGCATGCGGCTGGCCGGCCTCACCGTACCCTCAAGCCTCAAACGCTCCAACTCACTGGCCAAACTGGGAAGCCTCAACTTCTCCGCTGAAGACCTGTGCTCCGTCTGCTCCTCGGATGCAGGCACCCTCCTGCTCCTCTCTCTTTCCCCAGAGCCAGGCCAAGAAAGGGAGTGCCCCACCACCTCCATCTCTTCCTCCACCCAGCCCAGAGCACACAGGGACCAGACCACCCCAGAGAGAGCACTGTCCGGGGGTCCCAGGAGCTGACAGGAAGGATGGAGGGACACTCCTCCACCCATCCATCCATCCCCCACTCTGAGCTGGGGAGGGTCACACAGATTTTGGAGAGGGGAGAGGGACAGTCTTAAAAAACAAATGTGTATATAGAATTATACATGTATGAATAAACATTTGAATAATATAAATATATATTAATATAAATCCACATCATATTTAAGGAAAAATAAACAGAATCCAAATATGATACCATAATCCAGATGGTATCTTGGTTAAAGGCTGTTCTTGCATGGAGCGCAATGAATGTGTGTGCAAAGATGAACCTCATACAGAAGACCTGGTCTCCCATCGGACTTAAAAAAGTGGTTTTCATTTCTGGTCCTTTCTATCTGTCGAGAGATCAGAGTTACAGCTTCATCATTATCATATCATCATCATCATCATCATCGGTATGCTAAAACGTTTTCTTCCTCTTTTCACCTCAGTGTTAATGACTATCCGTTACAGGTTGGAGGTTGTTACCAACGATGTGATATTAGAAATTTATTTTAAAAATCATACAAGCATAGAATCTAGCTCCTCTGCTTCTGAGCCTGCGTTGTATTTTGGTATTTGCATAAAAAAGTTAATCAAACAGATTATTTTGGGATGAGACAAATATATGTTACAAATAATTTTCAAACAATTCAGATCCCAAAATAATAGAATACAAAAAACAAAAAGACCATAGCCCCCTCCTGCAAGTACAGCAGTGGGATTCCACTTCTGTATCAAAAGTAATTCCTTCATCCTAGTCCCCTCCATTTCTGACGCTTTCATGCTATAATGTCCTCCAAGCTTCCAACATGTCCCTGTGTCAAAATGTCCAGATATCATTCCAAGAATCTTCTGGGACCATTCTACCTCTGTGACACCACAGTGATGTGGTGCTTTTAATTTTGTTCAAGTAGTTCTATAGACCCCGCTCTTGTCAGGTGAGAGGTTCACATGCTGTATCATTGAGATCCTATATCTCTACGGGCTGTATGTTGTATCTATATATGATCTCTATGGGTTGTATGTTGTATGCAGGGTAGTCCGTAGTTGTCTGGTTTATAGTCTTAATAGGGTTGTCTGCTGAGCCCCCCATACCTGGACACTCACCTGAGATTCAGCAACAGTAGAGTACAGTGGGAATGATATGATGACACAGCCAAAGGGGCTGGAGAAACCATTCCCTTAACAAATCTTGCTGTTCCTTTCTGCCCTCCCTTCCCAACATGGATTAGCCTGTGTCTAAGCCTGGGTTTACCTGTGTAGTTGTACAGGTCCTTTCTGAGACTGGCTACACTGAACGCTAATCTTATTAGGGGTTCAAGTAGCGAAGCTGCGAGAAACCCTATTGTATTTGTTGGCGTTCATTGTTATACCGGTTCTTTCCGCAATGAAAATTAACATGTCAATTCCTGTGTCATTGTTATACCGGTTCTTTCCGCAATGAAAATTAACATGTCAATTCCTGTGTGATGGTAAGGCTGAGGAGGGTGCAACTTGGCATGATGGTAAAGGCCCATAGTCCACACCATCTCATGCAATGCCACGCCAGGGCCTCATGGTGGCGCTATATCAAGCGATTGAAATTGCACATTTTGAAAGGTCATGCCCCTCACCCCATGTGACAAAGAGTCCTGAAATTCAGTACATAGGTTTCTCTCCTCACAAGGAACACATTTTCCTCAAGATCCCATAAGGTCCGCTATGATGGATTTTTCGCCGTTTAGAATTTTGTGAAAAACACAAATTAAATCTCCTCCGGAACCACTGAGCCGATCTGGATGAAACTTGATATATAGCGTGTGTGGACCAAGGTCTCTCAACACAATATTTTCCTGGCTAGCATCTCAAAGAACATGGACCAATAAACATTCAAATGGGGGTGACCTGCCACATAAATGCATATAAATCTGACACGGTTATTCGTATTGTAACAACATGTTCAAAACACTGTTGGGACTTAACGTATGCAAGCACATTCAGATCGACCACACGGTGAGTCTAGCTAACCTGTAGAGTATGGTTCTGTTTGGCCGCATTGGGGCACTGTTGGACATGAAAAATAATACATGCAAGCTTTGGCTTAGAGCGGCTATATTGTTTGAGATAGAGTCTTATTTGAAGACGTGTCTATAGATGCTAAATACCATATTTGGTGCTGATCGGTCCAGCGGTTCTGGAGAAGAAGACGTTTACGGTAGTCAACATTTGAAAAGGTCCAAAGTACATCAAAAGCATATTGCATGATCTGTTGGATTTTGAGTTCTGATATTTGGCAAGCGTGGTAAGGAAGGAGTACAGAAGTGACTCGCCCTAGGGCGACGTGTTTAATTTGTCCTGATGGTGGCGCTGTGGGGACATAGCTTGAACCCCGGCATGGCTGCTTGCGGCTATATTTTAAACTGCTCTTGGTCAGGTTTATAAGTTGAGCAGGGAACTCACAGGATTCTCCCCCTCTAACTTCTTTTTGATCCACGCTTGTCTGTAATCATGTCCTTTATTTTATCTGAGAACTGAGTTGCGCTGCAGAATTTAATTTGTGAGCAGTTGCATTGGGAGTTGTACAAAGTCTTCTTTAGGTTCCAGAGAATGTTTTTCTCTGATCTTCCTCTGAGGGTCACACAATTCCTTATGCATGAGGTCACAAGAGCCATGATGTGTCATTTCACTTCCATCATTCTTCTTTCTCTACCTCTTCCTGTATCACTACTGCTGTCCTGAAAGTGTCCAACTAACTATTCACCTTCTATGTCGCCCAATTCATTCCACTCAGCTTGTCTTCATCTATAAGTGAAAAGAATAGAGGTTATTTATGCAACATCTTGCTACTTTGCCATATGTTTTTTTTACAGAAATGTTGCAGTCAAATATTTTCTTTCAAATTATTTGAGAAGTTCAGTGTTTGTGCATGGGAGTGGTTACATGGTTACTGTGAACTATTTATGAGAAGTGAAAATAAACTTTAAACACATGAATAGGTTCATATTGCACATGCATTTCTCCCACACGTATGAGAGCACATGAAGTATGTACTGTATGTTAATATGTATGTACAGTAGTTGATGACGTTACAGAAGATACTGCTGTATAGTACTGTATGTATGTGTCTGGTAATATGGAGAGCACAGACTTAGTTCTTCCCTATGACTCCAGTTCCTGTGCGGAGACACACACTGTTAGTGCAAGCAGTGACCTTCCAGTTTTAATCAGTTATACTGTGTGTGTTTGTGTATGTATGTATGTATGTATGTACATATGCTATTTTATTGAAATGCCGTGTCAGAGATGCCTGTTTTATTTTGTTTTTTGAAAAGATTTTGGTTCTATTGGTCACAACCCAAACAGCCACTTACCGCTGAAATCTTGACTTCAAACAAAGTGTTCAATTAGCTGGCACATTGCCTCTGTCTACCCACAGTTCTCCCCAAAGAATGTAAGAGAGGCGCTGTGCCACCTTGTGGACTAGCTGCGCCACTATGTAATATTTAGTTTTTAAGTAAAACAATTTTAAAAACATAGTACTTTATTTGTTATCATACAGTGGGGAAAAAAGTATTTAGTCAGCCACCAATTGTGCAAGTTCTCCCACTTAAAAAGATGAGAGAGGCCTGTAATTTTCATCATAGGTACACGTCAACTATGACAGACAAAATGAGATTTTTTTTCTCCAGAAAATCACATTGTAGGATTTTTTATGAATGTATTTGCAAATTATGGTGGAAAATAAGTATTTGGTCAATAACAAAAGTTTCTCAATACTTTGTTATATACCCTTTGTTGGCAATGACACAGGTCAAACGTTTTCTGTAAGTCTTCACAAGGTTTTCACACACTGTTGCTGGTATTTTGGCCCATTCCTCCATGCAGATCTCCTCTAGAGCAGTGATGTTTTGGGGCTGTCGCTGGGCAACACAGACTTTCAACTCCCTCCAAAGATTTTCTATGGGGTTGAGATCTGGAGACTGGCTAGGCTACTCCAGGACCTTGAAATGCTTCTTACGAAGCCACTCTTTCGTTGCCCGGGCGGTGTGTTTGGGATCATTGTCATGCTGAAAGACCAAGCCACGTTTCATCTTCAATGCCCTTGCTGATGGAAGGAGGTTTTCACTCAAAATCTCACGATACATTGCCCCATTAATTCTTTCCTTTACACGGATCAGTCGTCCTGGTCCCTTTGCAGAAAAACAGCCCCAAAGCATGATGTTTCCACCCCCATGCTATCACAGTAGGTATGGTGTTCTTTGGGTGCAACTCAGCATTCTTTGTCCTCCAAACACGACGATTTTTAAGTGGGAGACCTTGCACAATTGGTGGCTGACTAAATACTTTTTTCCCCCACTGTATATGATTTTTCTTTGCTCTAGATCGCAGGAAATGGCAGTTACAGGTGTTAAAAAATGCCAAAATTCCAGGGGAGAACCCTGCTACCATGATAACATTTATGATGCATTATCAAGGAAAAGATACTGTGTAAAAGTGTGTATTTGGTGTGCCACACAGAAACACTGATGTGCACATATACAGTACCTCTGTACTGTAGAGATGGCTCTGTAATGTTTCTCCCCAGTTTCCACCCTTGCTGCTTCCATTACAGGATGAGGGTTTAGTTGCTGTTTTTCCTTCTTGCTGTACAGTAGATCTAGAGAGCAGAGTGATAGATGTGCTTCCCAGGTGTAAGGCCAACATCTCTGGACAGCAGGGCTGTCCTATGGTGTGTGAATGTGTGTGCATCATGTAATATGCACACTGTTTAAAATGTGCGTGGCAATCTGGACCCTTTTAAAATGTATGCCAACATCTGTTGTGGGGTGTGTTGTTCAGTGTGGTGCCCCTTAAAACCCCATCTAGGTGTTTGCCACTTGGCGTCTGATGCTGCACACAGTGCAGATGGAGGTCCTTAGTGCTATATGAGTGTGTGAGCCAGTAGCCCACCTCCATTTAGGTTTGATTTATGGACACACAAGTGCCTTAGCCGTGAGACCAGAGGCATAGAGCTG